GCCCTCCAGGACTGGGGCTGTCCAGTCCTGCCACAGACAGACAGCTACCTGCCTTTCCCTGGATGCACAGCATCTGGGAAGGGGCTTTGCTTCCTCGGGCTCTCTCTGAGGAGCCGGGCCCTGTCCTGCGTGCAGCAGAGATGGGGTCTGTTTGTCCAGCAGCAGTCACAGTGGACTCAGCCCTGTCCAGCCCTGAAAGTGACACGCCATGGATCTTTGTCAGCCTGGGAGGCGGTCGTATCACAGCCAAACCACCGGCTTGGAAGCCCTAAGCAAGACGCCAATAAGTATGCTACTGTACAGAGACTGCCTCCACCCCCAGTCTGGCTTTGCGTGATTAGGCTAGGTTTCAGCCCCCAGTTGACTGCCACTGCACAGCACTATAATTCACTTCTCATCCTACAACCTCTGGGCCCGTGTACAAATAGTACTGATGAAGCAGGAAACAGTGTACTCTCTCTAATTTCCACTTGCCATGTTGCTCTACGTAGAAACGTTAACAGGTTTGAATATCCAAGCTTCTGGTGCGGGCTTATTACATACAGGAAGCTGCAGGCTGTAAGACAGGAAGTGCATCACAGGAGCTCTGCATTGGCAGTGGAGTCCAGTGTCATGCCTCCCTCTGAGCCAGACCGCAGCAGAGAGCGGATCAGGCTCTGCCCATCTCCAACCGCCAGGCAGAACCCTGCACGACACCCTGGCACTCTACGGAGAATGTCGGCTTCTGAACTGAAAGCTGTTTGGGATTCGGGGCGAAATAAACAAGGTCTAAATTCTGGGGATGTAGAGATAGGGGACAAGGACAGGGGGGAAGGGGACGCGCTGTCTTGTCACTTTCGTTCTGCCTCTCGCAGCTGGGATCAGCGGCGGCTTCTGCCTCCTAGTCGTCTCGGTCCAGGTGCTGCTGCTCCTTCCTTGACTCCTTGACCACCTGTAAAGACAGGAGCGCGGCGTCAGTGAGGTCTGACCGCTCTGGGGCTGTGTGGGCTCTTGTCCGCTGGATTCATGTGTCACAGATCGGCTGAGAGTCAAGAGGTGTCGCACAGAAACACAGTATGGAGTACCCACCGAGGAGGCTGGCTCTCAACCTCTGGCTAGGATTCTGGGAACAGTTAACTACAGTACCGGTCAGCCAAGCACACAGTAAGGAGTTAATGGCCTCCCCGCGGTAAGAACCGGGCTGCCAGGAA